ATTTGTATTTATGTATGTATGTATATATACATATATATATGTATATATATGTATATATATATATGTATGTATATATATATGTGGGTGTATGTGCATGTGTATGTACATGTAAATGTATATGTATACCTATTGATATATATATATATATATATATGTGTGTGTGTGTGTGTGTATAATATATAGATATATATATATATCAACGTGGCACCCGCAGATGTTTAGTCTTTAGACGATATGTTTGACCTGTTTGCATCTTGTGATAATCACGTATATGGTCGCCACGACATGGTAGCTGTCATTCATCTTTGTTGTGCTTCCTTTTCCATTGATGAAGTGTATCAGTGTAGCTGAAATACTTTTGTTTGTACCACTTATGCCACGACGATGACGATTTATATTGCAAAACATTTTAGTTTCAAATAGGAGCGCCGAGAAAGCTGTTCAATTTGATCGTATGATTTAATCTGTTATTTTACTTTTCCTCTCCAGGGGATATATACTATATGCGCGATGACATACGTACCGACTGGGAGCATGGCTTAGCGGCCGATAGTAGGGATGATCGGGTTAGTATAGTGTGGCGATTCCAGGACATACCAATATCCAGTAAGGTGGAAGATACGTAACCATGGCTCTCAGCATCCATTATTTAGATCAAAATATAGTACAAATGTAATTCTTATCCGACAGGTTCAAAACAAGAGTTGCGTGAAGGTGATATAGTAGGCCAGGTTTACGCACCCAGACTTGAAACAAATACGAAGATACCTGCTACCTTGACAGTATCTTGATTAGGATGAAAGCAGGCCACTATGACTACAACAGAGTTCCTCACTCAGACAACTAGGGCTAGAACAAAAAGACTCACTCAGACAACTAGGGCTATAACAAAAATACTCACTCAGACAATCAAGCCTACAACCGAGTTTCTCATTCTTGAAGCTCCACTGCAGTGTGTATCCGCGTCGCATTCCCACTGCGACGCTACCTTGCACGGTACAACGATATCACGACTTTACAGTTGTGGTATAAGCCGCTGGCACACTGTTTGGATGGTTGGTATTAATGAGGGACAATTACTTTCTGAATATCATTACGAGAGTGGGCGAGTATCTCTTCTACGAGCGTGTATGTCGTGACAAGAGTTGTCATTCCGGTACAGCACAGTGTGTTTTTATCGGAGAATCGTGCCAATTCTTTTGACTACGCTCACATTAGGAGATATATTGAGTAGCGAACGAGACAATCATGCTGACGGCGGCTTGGTGCCGCGCTGTTAGTTTGCTACCTAAGGAAATAAACAGACTTATGACTGCAATTGCTAACAAATGATACGAATTGTCACTGGCATAGTGTACGCCATCAGGTTGTTCAGGCTTGTATTGCCCCCAGACCTTTCGCTCGCAAGGTCACACACTAGGAGCATACCCTCAGTTTCCCACTTTCATAGAGGTGGGTCCTGCTCCGAGTCCTGCTAAAGGTGGATGCGGTTCAGTAGGATCAAGACACACGGGCGATTTAATGTTCCATTTCAAGATACTCCAATCCAGTACCAATTTTGCCGGCATATAATCCATTTGCGGTGTCGGTCAGCGCCTTCCACTTGATGCAAATATGGCTAGGTTCATATAGCTACGCAGCGGGATGATCCGGTGAAAACCCGGCTAATCCTTATCGATGTATTGAGTTTGTATGTAATTCCCCACTTTGAGAATTTAACTCGATACTTATTTAGGTCGGCACATCAATGAAAGCGGATCGTGCGATCTGAACCGAATACAATCGACTGGACGATGTCACCAGCAGCCAATACCCGGCCAAAGTCTAAGTGTGTACTATGCATAGTAGCGGCACACCACCTCAATATCGTATTATCCATGTGTCCTCTTTACAGCGTTCTCTGGCATTATTATCCAGCAAGAGTCTCAGCGATAGTTGGGCTAGCCTGTGGGTGATCCCCGAAGTGAGTCCACATCACTTCACGGTTGCGTATCATCGAACGTAGCGTTTTGGATAATTAGCACCACTACCAAGGCCACCGAGGGTATAAGCTCCACCACAAACCACAGAAAGGAGATCACTAGGGTGATTATATCCCATGCCGTTCCCAAGAGAGTTAACCTACCGCCGCACAGTAATGTGAACCACACAAACGAACGCCACAGAAGCTTGAGAGGCCAAATCAGGTATGTTAGATCACACAGTGCAGACCAGCACACAGCAGTGGCCACATCCCAACTCTCGTACTCAAGTGCGTGGTGGTAATGTGATCCGAGTCCGATAAGGTAGAAGGGAAAGATCACAGCCATAATTATGTGCAGATAGAAGGGTTCTGACCCTCTCAGTACACCAACCATAAGCGCCGCATACATAAAGGCGCAGCCCCTGACTATGTCTACAAGTACGTTGAGCACAAATGACCGCAACTCTGCCTCTTGCAAGTACATGCGTTCGTCCCGAAGTATTAGAGACAGCAAGTATACTACAAATAGAGTTATAACCACAACAACTATATAGCCCCCTATCGTCAGCGCAAATCGTCTATCCCCGTCTGCACCCTCTGGGTTATCCTCCCCTGTGCCTCCATCTTCATAGTCGTGCGAATCGGTGTCATTCTCATATTGCTTCTGGCTTTCCTGTTCTTCGCCCTCCCAGTTGCTTGATTCACTGCGCTTGTGACTCTCATGTAATCCAGCGGCATCGTTAGAACGCCTTCGCGTACTCGCATTCTTCTTCTTCGCTTTGACCATGATAATAAGTGTTTGTTTACAGGCCGATCGGACTATCTACTGTGTTTTAGGGCGCCCCCAGGGGCCCAGTCCCCCACCGCCCACCCCCTCCCGGGCTCTCGGCCCAGCTATTTTTTTTTTTTGGAAAATTGGTGTAAAACTTTGGTTTCAACATTTAGTTTTAAAAAAAATATAGTCCCAAAAACTAAAAAAGGTTTGTGAATTGTATTTTTTTTTCAGGTCACTTGGTTTTTTTGTAATTATTACTGAAAGCGTAAGCTTGTCTAAGCCCCTGTCAACTTTATCACCGATATTTTGTCCGTACGTCGGTGACGCTATTTGACCCTTTTCCGACCCCTTGAAGCCCCTCCTCATTTCAGAAGGAAAGACTCCACATTTATTTGCATCTTTTTCATTTTCTTTTTCTTTTCAATATTTCTAAATATGTACAGTACGTGATTGTGAACAATATGAATTACCTCTATAATTAAGCGTTTTCAGTCCCCGCGGCGGCCCAGCCGTGTTTTTTTATCATTGAAAGCGTAAGCTTGTAAGTCCCTCCAGACTTTATTGCATTATTGTATGTCGGTCTGTCACGCTATTTGCGTATATAAAGACCCCTATCCAAATTCGCGTTTGGTACGAAAAAGCCAACAACAATCAGAAGTCGTTGCGCACTCAAATTTTTAAGTCTGGCAGGCGTGTACGCGTATGAAACGTAAATATACAATATATACAATCCGCAATGGATATAATTAGGTTAAAATTTAAAATGCCAATTTTTGCGTAACAATTGGCAGTACATAAAAATAAAAAAGTGGACCTAAAATATCCGGGTGTTGTTTTTTAAAATAACATTATGGATATTTTTTTATAGAAAAACAATACCCGTGGTCTTGGAGTGTGGGTTCCTTTTTTTTTAAAACAAATTGGTCCTGGTGTTGCAGTGTGGGCCACTGTCAGCGTCGGCCGGACGCCCGTTAGGGCGGCACACCCGTTGTATTTATGTGGTATTTACCATACCCTTTGGGTCCTTGGGATCCATGCAATGGGGAATTCAAATAACAACAAGTATTTAGCCCCGGTGTAAGCCCAGCCTCTGTATACATGATTTGCACCTTCATATTCAATTTATGTTTTAAGCTCAGGTGTATACTTCGTACGTAAGGGGGTCGGGGGGGGGACTACGCCCTCCATTAGACCATGCTCTATAAACGTACTCCTAAGCAGTACATAGTCTATAAACGTACTCTTAATAGTACAAGGAACAAGTTTTCCTAAATGGTTTTAATGGTTTTATTAATTAATACCTTTTTCATTTTACATATCAGATATTTGGACAAGGCCATTAAAAGGCCTCAGTAAAATACCAAACATAAGAGTTGGTCGAGTTCTATTAATAGAACTATATTTACTTTCCAAATTTATTTATATCTGAATACTTCGGTAGCGAGATGGCTCAACCGACTATAGGTTTCTAGGGACTATTAACGTTACCTAGTTTATCCTCCGATCAGCCAACCAGATGTGCCAGTCTGATGAAGGCTAAGTCGGTAATTCTTGATAAGTGGAAAGTTATTGGTTAAGATAATAACAAAAGACATCACAAAGAGTATTTTCTTTTTCTATTTACTATTTTTTTAAGATATGATTTTATGAGTCTCTCGGATTCGCCCTAACGAAACATACCATAGTTTCTAATAGAGCGACAACAAAACACTAAATAAAATCCCTTCGGCGAAAACGGTACTGAGAGGATTATATATAGGCAATGTTTCGGCCTCACAATCCCTCAGAGTATTACTGTTTTCACGAGGCATACCTAACTTTACTCAAAGACTCATTTCGTTTATTTACTTTGAAATTATCACGATACTTAGATTTTACCTACGCGTTCAATTATTCTAAGGCGTTAATATCGCCTTGAGAGACCGAATCTTGCACATTTTAAAGTTAGCCAATGTATTAATTACTTAGAATACTTAAGCGTAAAGGTAGATTAACTACCACATTTTCTTCTTGTTGTCCAAGCTAGTCCTTAAGAGACAAGCTAATAGTGATAAGTTAAGATTGTGAATAAGAAAGACAATACTCCTTCTAAGAAGCGTAGAGCTGAAAAGAAGAAGATGGAGAGATAGGCCGCTAGCGCTGCCACAGAAGCAACCGCCGCCGCTGCCTATGCGTTTACCGCACCGAAGCCGAAGCACTTGTCTCCGACAATAATAGTCAACAGGACAATGCTTCGGATAAGGATGTAGCCACTCCGATTAAGAAGACTACTCCAACAGACAGAGCCCGAGGGCCAACTATTACTTCAACTTCTAAGCTTGCATTTACGAAGCCAAGCAGTGAAACAAGGGACACGTCTCAAGACGCCCCAACCAATTCCTCTGACAAAACTCAGAAAGAAAAGTTCCCAATTATAAGGTAACTCCCAATTATAGGGGACAAAGACAAATCTCAGGAGGTACCTATAACGGAATCGGAAGAGGAGGCAAGCTTGAGTGGCAAACCCGAATCTACATCCGAGACCACTGAACCAAAGCGCATAAGTAAGTTAATTACTGAAAACACTGATCTTATGAATCAGTTAGCTATCTTTACGAAAGACTTGACTGTTGAACATGTAGATCGATTATATAGATCAGGAAAACATACCCATCAATTACGCGAGCATGTTTCTCCGGGGCATTACTGAAGCCCTACAGAAGTGGACAGAACGTCGACATCCAATTACGCCCGAAGAGCGTAAAGACTCGAGCGCTATACCTGTGGCATATGATCCAGATGTGCTCAGCATATCTATACCTTACGAGGTACTACCACCAGAACTTCAGGCTAATTATTCATCTGTTCTGACACCCGGCCGTGAGTCACCCGTCCTTGAGGGTATTATAGACCCAGAGGCAGGTAGAAATACTCCGCCACTTTTACCCATTTAGGATGACAATCGTCGGAAACCAGCTACGACTGGGTATGTTATCCAGACGCAGGAATCTCCCAAGTTTATAATACCAACCACTATCCAAGGAACAGAGCCCCGAAAGGCCTCGACCATTAAACCCTAAAAACACCCCCGTAAACGTGTTAACGAAGTCGAATTTAATCGCTTCGATCGCACAGCACCGCACCAATCAGCAGAGGATTTCCACTTTGACGAGGTGACCGAACTCAACAAATCGGTCGACGATTATAACATTAAAATTGAAATCGCACACGATGTGCATCATGCTGATGATGTATCATATTTCGCTAATCTGATCGCGATTAAGCAAAAGCGCATCTGTAAACTTCGATGGAAATCACTAGGTTTCAAACTATATTAAACTAAAATACAATTTAGTCAGTTAGGATTTAGCAGTGGTAGCTTGTGTAAGAATGATCGGGACTGCCTCTTGTTAAGAGCCTAAATATTCTCGATCACACAGGGCGTACCTCTAGCTGTTC